CTGTCCTAAAGGTGCTTTTTCAGAAGGCAACCAGACTTTCTTGTTTTTTCTTTGAAGATGTCTCATTTCTCAACCAAGAAGCTTCTTCACCTCTCTCAGGAGCTGAAGGAACTGTTGTGTTATCAGGGTTCCAAGTAACACCTCCACTTCCAGGCCTTACATTGTCTGTGTGTCTAACCACATTTTCTTCCATTTATGTAGTTTGCAGTTCATTTAGGTTCTTTGTCATCTTCCTCGAAGTATGCAATTTGTCCCATTTATTCATTTGTTAGGCACTCAAATACAGTGAACATTTTCACCCATGCTCAGTTTTCCACACTCATTTGCCTTGAAATTCCTTCCCCCTCCCTGGCCCCTGTTTAGGTTCCTTTCTTCTCCTTCCAGCAGGTTGGCGTAAAAAGAAGTTTTAAAGACAGGGTAGGAGAGGTGATGAATTCTGGTAGACATTGATCCTTTTTCTGCAATTTTGCCCTTTTGGTTTTTTTGAAACGGATTACTTGCTTAGTGTCTGGGTGTTGGTGAAACAGAATTGGAAAGGGACGAACTTTACATAAATCATTTATACTGAACACTTGGTATGCCGGCTACATAAATCAACAACAGTATCTATTACCATTCTCTCTCCCATCCCCTCCTTACCAGTATTATCTTGATACGGCTGGTCCCAACATTTGGGCATGCTGAATCCTGCCTTCAGAAGGCTAGCCCTTGGTAATTAATTATTCCGGGCACATAGAGCTTGGCCCTTGCTACGGGGAATAATTGCTCCCAGCCAACAGACAGGGTTTTAACTTCAGTGGCAATAATAAATAGAAAGTCTCAGGTGATGCCACTATTTTAAAGTAATTAATCATCTCCACTCTTCCTTCTCTCCCTCCCTCACAAGCCCCATGTGCTCCCTTCCATGTTGATTCCCTCTACCTCCAAGTAGGAAAATTCAGCAATAAATCTTTAATGATATATATGTTTAAAGTGATCTGTTACCTAACCCTTGGGGGTTTTTCCCCCCTTGTGCGTACCTTAACATGTCCAAGATTTTTTCTCCACACTCATACCTATTGTAAATGCTGCAAGTTGTGAACTTCAAGGGTGCACAAAAGGACTGTTATATGTAGGAAGGTAAAGCTTAGCCATAGTATCTCTGAAAGATCGTTAACTTTTTTTTTTTAATGTCATGCTGTACATGTGTTAATAGAGATGCTTAATTAACACCAGTGGGGCTGTCAAGAAATGCATCTTTCAAAGATGTTGTATTACTGCCAGTACAGTCTCCGCCTTTTCCAGTACCAGAAAGTGTTGCATTGTTTTGGACTGGATGCAAAATACATGCACTTCAGCTATAGCACATAAGTTCACCGCTGGACAAGAATCCCATCCCTTTGCGAATTTGTCTGCAGTTTTTGCTGCCTATTTTTTTTTTCTAGGAGAATATGCTATGCTGCAGAGAGTCAGTGATTCTCTGGATATTTCCTGGTAGATCTGACCAGCCGTCATGGCTATTCAGTGTGACAGGGACAGATGTGACAGATTGGTTCTGACACCCTTCCATACCACAAATCAGTGACTGGAGGTGACTCCTGTCCTTCTGTGATTGTGCCCCCACCCCACCCCCCACTCCCCCGCTGCAGGACAGCACAATGATGCACGAATGAACCTTGCCATCGCCCTCACTGCTGCCAGGTATGGGGCTGCCATAGCCAATTACACTGAAGTGGTGCACTTGCTGAAGAAGATGGATCCAGAGAGCGGGAAGAGCCGAGTTTGTGGAGCAAGGTGCAGGGATGTTCAAACAGGTATGTCCTTTGGGCTCTCCTTGGCATTTGTGAAACTCTCTTGTCTCCAGGTAGCTTGCTCTGGCAGGTACTGGTGGTGGTGGGGGTGTCTTTCTGTTTTTCAGAGACCCCTTCCTTTTTATGCTTTCTGGGGCTGGGTGGCTGCCCAGAGTCTCCCTCCAGCCCTTTCCCCTCAGTAGCTGCACGTACTTTGAGCGCAAGTGGGAGGAAGCGCTGCTACCCAGAAAGGCATTTTAACTCCGGCTTAAAAGAAACGGGGAAATCCTCCCCTCCTCAAACTTAAGTGCAGGAAGGTGGGTGAAGGGAGACTGCAGTAGGGGGCTGGAGTTTGTAAATATCGCTTAGCTGACAAAAAAGGCATGTTTCCAAAGTGCAGTGGCATGTCATTACCGCCAATCATCCTTAACTTCTGTCAGGCTTCCATTCAAATCCTAGTGCTTTGGCAAGCTAAGCTGTGCTTTACATCCAAGCCCTTCTGTCAAGCAAAGCTGACGTTCTGAGATGCCGGGTGGTGCATTTCAGCAATAAGTACCATTTAACAAATTTCAGGGTTTTCGAGAATGTCATTAAATAGAGAATGTCGATAAATAAAAGCCGAATGATGAGGGGGCCCGAAGAAGTCGGAAGGTTGCTACCATTCTTTTCTGCTTCTTTTCCCTCGTTCTATACGAGTCTGATCTTCAAAAACTTTATAAACATTGGGGAGTCAGTGTACTCTTGGCTTAAAAGCCATCTCTATTCTAATTTTGCTGGAAACTGAGCTGCTTGGTTCTATGTGCACGTGTACAAGCCCTGTGTGTGTGTGTGTGTGTGTGTGTGTGTCTACACACACTTCACAATAGATTAACTTCATGGATAAATTAATAATCCAGAGAGTCAGCGAAGAGAAAAACAAATGGAGTATGTGATTGATGCTGTTTTCTTTCACAGGGCAGGAATTTGATGTCAAAGCCAAATGTGTTATCAATGCTACAGGACCTTTCACAGATTCTGTGCGGAAAATGGATGAGCAGGAAGTATCAAACATCTGTCAACCAAGCGCAGGCGTTCATATTGTGATGCCCGGCTATTACAGGTAACAGTCTTCAAAGCACAGGCCATTTGTAACCATCTTAGGATGTGAATCTAATGGAGTCGAGACAGGAGAATCTAAAGAGATTGTTTTCTGGCTTAAATGGTCCATGTTGAATTCAAGCCTTCATTCCTCCCCCCCCCCCTTCCCTCCACCTTACCTGCAGTATGGAAATTTATTTTGAGTGAGTCAAACATAATCNTCCTGGAAAAATAAAATCTAGGCTTGCAAAATAAATTCAAGATTCTAGCATTTACAGTATCTATTTAGCATTGCCAAAAATTATGGTTACTGTAAATGTATACAATTCCGCATTTTCCCCAGTTCTTCTGCATGACATTCACATTCACCAGACTTTGTGAACAGCCCTCGGTTAGTCTTCCTTTACCTGACGGAGTCCACAAATTAGACTGCAAGTCCTAAAATTCCCAGCCAAGGCAGCCTTTGAATTCTGAAAAAAACATGGTCCACAGCATCTGGTGAGGGACGGCTACCCACTATGCTTTTCATTCTGTAGTTGCCATGTCAACTATACAAACAGTTCTTGTAACAGAAGAAGAGTAGCAAGAACTCCTTATTTTAAGCTCTGATTCAAATGTCGCAGTTATCTGAACAGCTAACACATTGCTTAAGGCAAAAGAATAGGACCGGGGGGAAACTAAAAATGAAAATAAATCCTTTTTAGGATCAGTTCCCTTTTCTGTCTTCCTGATGTGTCTTTTTTTATTGGAATTATTTGCTTGGTCTTATTCAAAATGGAAGGATTCTAGTCGTCTTTTTATTCTGTGGATTGATTTTTGGTTTAGAGACCATGTCCCCTAAATGAAATGGGTTTTTGCTAATCTTTCCTTAATAGGAAGCTATCCGTAGGACTTCCATGCTGTTATTTATTTTTAGTGAAATGTTTTTCACCAATCTTGGAATTCACCTCTTCGTGTTCATCAGTGTGGTGTAGATGTAAATGTGTGATTTTGTTTTTAGAAAATCAAAGCCCAAGCGGAGAACTTTGGTGAGATATTTTTAAAGTCATGAACAAAATGCTTGCCTATTTTCAAGCTGCTTCGGGATACATCATTTGTGTGCCTGTGTATCCGTGTGTCTGTCCTAAAGGTGCTTTTTCAGAAGGCAACCAGACTTTCTTGTTTTTTCTTTGAAGATGTCTCATTTCTCA